AATTCCCGGAGAGATGATCAATCTCACGAAGACAGAGTTTTACAACATTCGCTGCTTGATTTTGGCGTCTGAAAACTAGCAACGTGTTCCGGGTGGTATGGTTCATTAGGAGATCGCACGTGGGTAAATGTGTGTGCCAAAGCGACACATGCTCAGGTTTCTGGTGGTAAGAGTGAAGGGGAAAGAGCATTAGGGGATCGAAATAAAACTCAGAAAAATGTTTAGCACGTGCAACAGACAAACAGAAATCCACAAGTAAAATAAACTTAGAGAATGACTAATCGCGCACACACACACACACACACAGGGGGGGGGAGAGAGAAGAAATGCATAAAAAAAGATTGCAATTAAACACTTATCGGTTTAAAAATCCATAAAACGAACTACGAGCAAAACAAATCAAGTGACTGTTCTCGTTTGAGTGAGCCGGAATGACAAAAGAATACCGGCGGGTGTTTACCAAACAACATGATCGGGTATGTTTACATATATTTTATCTTCTTAAGAGAAAAGTAATCCACGACGAACGTACCACAAAATAAATACAAGGAATAACTTACTTTGCTTTCGTGCACGCCACGAAATGGAATGTCGGAACCAGATCCCGTGTCGGCGAATGGCCGCCGAAAGATTATTGAGAGCCGATAAAGAAGGGCGCATAAGTTTTTGAGATACGCAGGGATCTGTAGTGGACTGAGGTGTGGTGAAATCTGAGGACATCACAACGGACGGCTGTTGTAAACGAGAAGAATGCACGCAGAGTTAATTTTCACATAGAAAAATATGGAACAGAGAAGCGAAACCAATTTTAGATTCTTGGATCACGCATATAATTATTAAGTTGCAAAAAATGGAACCAAGCATATCACTTGTTCCTGAAAAATTAAAAGCGTTTATTTGAAAAAACTCCAAGGAACTTCCAAGTTCTGTTACTTCATTTGGTATGCGTTTTGCCCCTCCAAAGTGCAAAATGATTCTACACGATTATGTCGTCTACCCCGATGCTGCTGCTTGATGGCCAAGAATTAGCTATAGCGGAATGTTTCTCCCACTTAAGCAGTTGCGTAGCATAGTCAAGGAAGTAGCTGACCGCATTTCCAAGGCACGAGCAGTGTTGCTATTTCTTATCAGATCAGAATGCTTGAAAAGGTATCCATGCACAGTTTTTCACTGGGTGTTGAGCATAGATATTCACTTTGTTTGCCCCTCCTCAAATTAGGCCCAATCCCTCTCCAGCTTGTACTTTATTACTTAATTTGTGTACGTTGTCAGCGATTAGCGAAGTTCGTTTCACTACAACTCGCTGTACGACGATGAAGCAAACAGAATAACTCTATGAATGAGTGATCAGTGAGAACAAAGGTTCAGTGGAGTGGGAGTTTGACTGTTCGTACCACCTGGGGTAAGGCGACCGACAGAATGAACGAACCTGACCGTAATTGACCTTTGTCGGTCAGGCAAAGCGAGCTGATTTCGATGTTCAGTAGAAGGCATTGATATTGAAGTGAGTTCAGTTGTAGTCCCCAGGGCAATCAGCGTAACTGCATTGAGGCAACTCTTTATCTTTACACCAACACTTGTAAGAGTTCGCCGCATAGGAACCTTGTAAAGGAAATATGAGGTTCTATTTGGAAAATGCACTGCGTCGTGGAAACAGTGAATGCAAACAAACAAAATATGATGCCAAGGAGGAACACAGAACGTTTCAACAAAGTAATTTCGTCTTTTTCCAGCTATTTCTGACGCTCACTGGTCCCCAAGCAAGGGAAGAGGTTTAATATAGGCGAACGGATTGGATTGTGATAGAAAAATAAACCCCTCCGTCAAATCAGAGCAGAGAAGACTATCCGGTGCAAAAAGAAAAACGCGTCGCCAAACATTACACCTATACAGTAAGAAACATTATTTCCTGGAACTTTTTATAGAACTCTCCAGTTTTAATCGTGAAAAGATCAATCGTCTCGATGGGCTTTGAACCCACGTTCGGACGTCACCTACGCCGTGGAAGACAAATTACGTGTTATTTGGAGTCACTATGACTGTGCAAGTTAAGTGGGCTATCCAAATGTGAAGAGACCGGTGTTGTAGTTGTAACCCCACAGATCAGTTGGTAGAGTGGAATGAACAAAAGTGTAAGTAAACGCACATTTATACGATCATGACCTCAACCCCTAACCAAACAGAAATCACGCAAACTGCTTGTCTATCACCTTATTCAAATGCCTCGTTTCAACTTTTATGTTTCTTCGTTTTACATGATCATATAAATGTGCGTTTACAGCTGAATAAGAGCACGCAAAATTGATGGCCAATATCAATTCTGCCCACATGTCTTCTTGTGTTGATGAAATGGATGAAGGGAAAAGGATGTTTTACAAAGCGTAAGTGCGGTCCAAGCAGTTCCCACCGATACAACTGAGCTTCTCACAATTCAAACGTAAAACTACAGTCTTCCAAAATTCATTGAAAATAACCTTATGTGATTGTTTGACTGCCAGAAGACTTCGGAGAACTGTGAGTTGAACTGTCCGTATGGCTGATAGGAAATTGGTGCGGACAAAAAGCATTCGATATTTACGGAGGTGAGTAGGAGAACATGAATTTCCGCGTTTGCACGGTGTACAGTTCTCGTTCAGGAATCAAAAACAAGATCCATTGTTTAAATCTAGTTGTCGCCAGCCAACTTTTGCGGAACCGGTTATTTTAATACCGAGCAATCTTATTGAGGTCCATTGTGATTTATCATCCCAGCTTCCATTGCAAAACAACAGATCGTTGTGAATGAGGGCGTTGATCGATTCCATTGTCTAAAAAACACTTAGATGTGTACGAAAAAGACTGTATGCAATAGGTGGGCCTGTGAAGGATCCATTTGCTTACCTGTGTCGGGTGTGATAGGGGATCTGAGTCAGAAGGGGTATGCACCAAGTTTGCTGGACTCGCATTAGGTAAGTGAACGGCGGAATTGTGTGGTATTCTGGGTCGATGAGAGGAGCTGATCGGTGAAGAACTGTGGTTACAACACGATGAGCACGGGACGGATTCACAATCGACAATCGTGGGTAAGGGTCGGGAAACAAAAGGTGGATTCAGAGAAGACTTCTCCAAAGTGGAAGGACTAGGTGTAAAGATCACTGAAATTCGACAGAAGAGGAAAACAATGAAAAAAAAAACAATTATTGCGTTACTATAAGAATAGGCTGTAAATAAGTGAATGAAGTCGATGAACAATTAGCCCTTAATCGATAAACAAGTTGACCCAAACTGTCACCGTAACTGAACAATTTGCCGCGGCCTGGTCTTTAGTCATGAACGAGGTTTGTTTTAACCCCGGAAAATATATGTTCTCTTTTGTGTGAGAAAAAAAATCAAGAATACCAGTATCAAGATGATATGAAAACCAAAGTAAACTGACGAAAGTGAAGAAATGTAGGACTTCAAGCGTCATCATCTAGTTTTTCTAGTTACTGGGTGGGCAGGTTTTGTGAATTGTCACTTAAACCATACAATCAGATTCCAAGCTCCCAACTCAGTGATCAATAGTTTCAAATATTTCTGGTTAGTCACAAGAATAAAATTTGATGCCTAAACCATTCCAATCTGTGGTGGTCCCAAAAGCAAAGCTGTATGCTACCGGCGCTTCCCTTCAGGTTGCGGATACGAGGTCAGTCAATAATGTGATGGTCAACCGTGAATAAAGTAAGTCGATTCTCGCTTAATAAGCGATCGCAGACGATTAGATGCGATGATAGGGGACGCGGTGGGGTTCGTTTATCTGTTCACGTACGTCTGTGAACCGCACTACGATGTCATGATCGCGGTCCGATAGGAAATAGGGACACTCCTCCCGCCGCTGGTTTCCGGAAGGGGTAAATGAATTGCATCGAATCATGGTAATGATCCATAAATGGACTGGTCCTGAAAAACTTATGCAAACAAACTTGGCCAATCCGCATAGCTGATAGTGACAAGAACCGCGAAACCGGTTATGTGCATCCAGGGGAAGTTTATCGACTCATTCATATACTGCCTATTTTAGGATATATATATTCATGTAATGATCAGGGTTGCGATGACAAAAACATGTACAAGTAATGGGATCGGGTTCTACACCACAGTGCGCTTGCTTGCCCGTCCACCAGATAATGCAATGCTTCAAGGTTTGAACTTTGTTTAAAACATCAATTTAATTGGCCGGCTTATGTCGACAGTTTGTACCTTACAGTGGAGAGAAACGAAGATTCTGGAGAATGAGGACTATGTAAATGTTGATGTCGGCTTGTCTCCAAAAACAACTACGATAAGTGTCTTTCATTCGTTTTTTTAGATTACACACCAGTGTGATGAACAATAGACAGGGAAAGCCCTATGGTCACGAAGACGTACTGTTCAGTCATGGAAACCGGTAACTCAAGCCGAGGGACTTAGAGTAGCGAACCACATAATGCCCCGCTGGGCTAGGTGTGGTGCTGAACCGGACCACAGCAAAGCTGCCTACCACCTGATCAAAACCACCGACTGGATGGAGATAACTGACCCGAATCGAGATAACGGTTTCCTTTAAACAAAGGAAAGCTAAAAAAACAAGCATAAGCCTTAATCCATCCTCTGTGGTCTCGGTGAAAATTCTCCGTTAATTCAGTCTTTTGCAATAGGCTGTAGAAAACAACACGACGGAATGTGATGCGACTTAGAACGGGCGTTCGGACGTACCACAATCACCCGTACCCCTGGGACATCGCAAATGGTGTGTGGACTGAACAGCAGTAACTGATTGGGATAAACGACGATGTGCGTTCGAGAGACATGGATAATAGCTGTAAGCGGTGTACGGTGTATCATATGGATCACCTGATACGCCATTGTTAGAATGAACTGCTCGGGAGAGAGATGGTGGATAAGAACAACGGGATTCGGGTAGAAGCGCATCGTTAACTTCAGCGTAAATTGCTGCTTCAGATTCCAACTGATCCAACAATGGAGGCAGTCCATTCGAATCGCTGGTCATGGGAGGATAGGGTAGTGTGGCCGAACTGGGTACTCGACTTGCGTGATTCGACGGAACTCGACACGCCACAACAGGATAGGTAGAACTTGAAGGAACGGCCGGAGACGGGGGTGAGGATGAGGAATGTGAATTGGTGGAAAAGGTTCGAGGACGGGGACGTTTCGGTCGATTTAGACGTCGGATGCATCGTTCTAATCCACGAACCTGGGTAGAGAAAACAGAATGGGACAACCATGAAGCCATCGATATCTCCGATGGAAAAAAGTTGGAGAACAAGACGAATCGATTGAAACAGTAACATCTAGAAATAAACATCCACGCGTGCTAAGTGACATGCAAAAGTAACGGGAGCCCATTCATTATATTTCGGCACACATTTAAAGTAGGGACGTTTGATCAACCGGACCTTTCTACTTCCTTCTAGGGGCTGAAAATTATTAGGCTCGGAGTGGCGAAACGCTAAAATATTTCGTGGGAGTGAGAGGATGTTGCGCTGGGTAATATCAATTCTGTTTGTTTATCAAGGAGGTTGCCCTCGGCAGGATCTGAATGCACTAGTAGTATCCCGTAGATCAATGTACTACCGACAATGGTTCGGAGATGCAAATATAGTTCGGATCACAACGACCAACTGAGCAACGAGATATGAAACAAAAGTACAACGAACCTTTATTAGAAAGGAACTAGAGGGTAATGCATCAAGTCATGGAACAGAAAGGCATGCACAACGGAGTCAATAAACAGGCACAAAAGGGAAACAACACAATCACACGCAGATGAACGGACAACTGAATAGATGGAATGCAAAATTATTGATGGAACAACCAACAGCAACTAGTTCATTTTTATTAGCATGATGAGCAGCAGACGTGATAAACAGCATCGACGGCCTGCTGGTTACTCACAGTAACCTAGACTACATTACGTCCCATCAGGTTAGACGTGGTATTTGAGCCGGGAATCTAGCACGTTAGCAATCCACAAAGCATACTTTATTTTAGTCAATGACCATAAATATACAAAAACAACAACAGTTTTCAGCTATAAAGGATCCAACTAATACGAGAAATCAGCTTTTCACCAAAGGTAAACAAGAAGACCACAGAAAGCATCAGGGCAAAATGGTCCGCAAATCAGAGTTCCCCAATGAGTGGAGTTCAAAAATGTCCATTCTATTCTCACGAATTTGAAAAAAGAACAACCATCACATGAAAGCTGCATACATCAGAACACTGTTTGAAAACCACCCGCTATTGGAACCTGATAACGTATTGAAGTCAAGCAGGTTTCCTCAGGTGAAGTGCAAACACGACATTCAACCCGGACGGAGTTTTAAACATAGACAAGAAATACGTGCATATAGAATTCATGCAGGATTTGCGTCTGCGACCATGAAAGCCAGTCACATGAGAAACTTACGAGTGCATTACTAAATCGAACTGAGAGAGAGCGATGGCACACAAAGCAGGAACAAATATCGATGATTCTGAGGAACAACAAGCCATCGCGAATGTGAACTGTTATCAATGGAAAAATTATATACACTAAAGAGAAGACTAAAAAATAGAAAAAATTCAAACAGTCAACTTATTTGATTGTAAGATGAAACAAGAAATATGAGATCACTGGTAATCTAACCTCGGACTGGGAAATTTTTGGCAATTCAGCATAGTACTCCTCCACGGAGGATGTCAGTTCACTGGAATTATGCATCACGGTTAGAGTGGATTCACATGTACAAGCTGGAGGTGCACCTTGAGTTTCGTTGTGATGGCCGGAGCAAGCAGGAGTAACGTTCCAAGAAGAGGTGGAGGAGAGGGGTACCGGAGATACGAGCGTTGTATGCGCGGAGGGAATCTGATTCGAAACGAAGCGGATGGGTTGATGATGGATGAGAGTTAAAGTGGAATGAGACAATGCTAAATGCAGTTCAGTTCGATGATGACTGGATGGTGATTACTTGAACCTTAGTATTGGAGTAGCAGCATTACACATGGCATGAACTGGTGGGATGAAGTGCTCTTATTTGTTCTTTTCAGTCAAGATACTCTCCTTTTTTACTTTTGAGCGACTAACTCCTGCGGGAGGACGGGTCGGTTTCTTGGATGTCTCTTATGATGGCAGCCTACACCTGATGATCAGCGACAAGGTCGGTGCAGTGTGAGACCCAGTTCTGGTTCCACTTACGAATCCCATATACTGATTAGAAGCACAGTAGTTCCAAATCCGCCATGATCGGTACTGCTCCAAGTCTTCAGTTTACCAACGAGTTGGTAACGCCAGCCACGGTACGGTGCAGGGGGTACAGTCTAGCGCAAGAGTGCTATAGGGCATTAGGAGCAAATGGCTCAAACACCGAAGGCATTGGCGCTGTAGCATTTTGAAAAGCTTGTCAATGTTGCAGCAGTGCGATCGAAGCGCATCATTGGGAACCCGATTCCCCAAATTTACCTTCAAGATTCGGCGTAAAAACCAACCTCGAGCTTCCTTGTGATTTGTAGTATTAGCGGTCACAACCATAAGTAAGGATGGAACGAATGGAAGCCTGATAAACCCGAAGCTTAGTGTTTAGGCTTATTTCGCATTTGGGTCAGTATTACTTATGACGTCAACGCATTTGAATTTAACCGGACGGTTCCCAGCGGGAAACGATCACTGACGAAAAAATCGCACCGTTGACAAAATATTGGATGAAGAAACTACGTAACCAGGTTTTACATATGCGTTCAACAACAATAAATCCCTAGGAAGATTGAGAGGAATACTGTTGCAGCTTCATCCCTGGGGCATATTTCAGGGTGGTTCGGATCTCCTCTACTACACTCTTTTGTGATGACCAGTAGACGCGGTAAACCGCATAGTCCCGAGGACTTACTGTTCATGGAAACCAGCAATCAAAGCCTTCGAACTTTGAGTAGTGAACCACAAAAGTACCCGCTAGGTTATGTGTGGTATTAGGTAAAACGACAGTGGGGTTCAACCCTAAAGCCGAAACATGCAGCTGACAGCGACTTAACTTGATCGCCATCAAGCATGGACTCAGAATTATACGAGTATGGAATAATCTCTGTCCACTGAGTTTACCGAAACCAATTGCAAGTTTAATGGTTACACAAATGGAGTAAGAAGGGTAGCTCTCTACCTTGAAAGCTACATGTACTTAAATCAACACTGTTGTTTACGTGTTAGCAACATAATCGAAAACCTTGCATTTCACCAAGGCATTTGGAAAAAGTACGTCTGTAAGGTTTGGCTTTATCCACGTTGCCAACATGTTCTGACAGCGCAGACACTGTGCATTAATCAACATCATGGAAGTCTGAATTGAGACAATAAATGCAAAACAACGCTGCGATTGATTCGGCAAGAAGGATAAAACGGTGCCGTTTGATGTCTAAGGAATACGCACTGAACGAGTAGTTAACAAGAATTTTGTAAGATGCTACTCACTATGTGTGAACAGTATGGCGAACGGCTTGATCACTAATCAAGAGTCTTTCGTGAAACTACGAACCAACTATTGCAGATTGTGTTTCGTTCGTGTAAATGGTTTCACCTTCCCCGATCATTATGGTTTCCCAGAAGAACCATTATTCATGGTCCGGCACTGGTTTGTGGGTTTATAACAGCAGTAACTGATGCATACACGAACAATCCCAGAAGAATGGCCATCTGAGCACTTATTAGCTATAGAACAGTAGTGACAGATGATAACAACTGTCAGCTTGCGCTCAGCAGCCCCTACGCATCGAGGGCACGTGATAAACCATGTGAACAGATGCACACAGGCAGATTCAGTATGCTAGAAGAAACCTGCGTCAACGCGATTGGGTGCAGAGACACACGAGATTAGAAATGAGATGCAGATCGAATGAGTGTATTGCAACCAAAACTTGTTTAAATAGCGGGTGTATATCACTTGCCTTCCAGATGCGTACTTTGCATCATAAAAACAGGAGCATTGCTTATCTCTTAAACCCCTCTGGTAAGCGATACATCCTCATAGTTTAGTTAGACACATCGTCAGGATGTATTTACATGAAAAACAAACAAGTAAGCGAAATAGGAAAATCTGACTTTTACCGCTTTTAAAGCATTGACCTGGTAACTAGATGCTGCGACTCGGGTTGTTATCTCGCAGAGAATAAATGGAAGGACGACAAAAAAGATACAACTTACTACGAGTGAGTGAAAGAGAACATGCGGAGCAGGAGCAAATATACGAGTTTAACTATATTACCAATAAAGTGCAACAGCAAAGTATGCATAGCTGAGACCAAAGTTAGCTGCCCCTCATTAGGTTAAGTCGGATAAGCTTTCCCGGAACAAAACGTATCTCAAGCGATTCTGCATTGCGTCATAATTCGTAAATTTTTGTTGGAAATCCGTAGATTGGTGTTCAGAGTTGAGGTTTGTTTTTGGAAAACCGTGTGGGCTGAAAAATCTATAAGCTTGAGCACTCTATGTACGCACAAACAGAGAAACATGGGCTATCAATTACAGTTGAGTCTGCATAACCATGAACGGTGCAGCTATATGCTCCGTTTTCCGTTGCTAATTTTCGGAAAAACAAGGATATAGAATGTGCGTAGAATGCAAGTAGATGCCCGAGTGCCACGGTCTACGATAGTGAATCATAACACTAGATGAAACCACTGAGCAGACTGAACGCGAGGTCCCCAATCGGGAAACCTAACACAGCCTAGTGAACCAAGTTGTCTGGCTTCGATGCGCTAAACGTGAGACAAATATGCATCACCTTGACGTCACATATGATCCAGATTTAGTTTCTATGGTAAAAATGATCTAAACTGACTCAAAAAGCGATCACTGGACTAGTTATACAAAAAATGTTCTTCTCGTTGTCGAATGACGTGATGTCATTGGCTTTGTAGAATGCGGGTTTTTCTGTGTGTATTCAAACACTTAATGGTGTGTGAAAGTTGTCTCCTTGCCCCTCCCCCTTTCCAAGCAGATCAACCACTAGCATGGCTTTATCTGGTTCGAATGGGATGTTGACTATCACTCGTACGGTTATAGAACACGTTCTGAACCAGAAAAATATAGAATATGGTTACATTCAGTGTTACGACCCATTTAAGTGTTTAGTTGGGGAGGGGGGGAAAGCATACAAACGACTCAGACAGCCAAAATCCCGAGTTTACTTTTAAAAATCTCGAAATAGGGTAAAACAATGAAAAGCAAACTTTGTTCACCGATGGAATTATGAAGAATGGAACATCTCTGATAGATCACCGTGCAAAAGCGTGAGGACTGAGGGACTCACCAAACTACAGTTTGGTGCACGTTGAACGCCATCTGTGCGTGAAGCTGTATGCCGCGAATGACACCATTCTTGTGACGGGCTGACAGGTAACCAAGGTAATTCGACAAAACTGACGCCAGAAACCGGATTACGTGAGTGAACGGAAAAATCAGATGTGGTGGAGCGTAGAGGAACATTCAAATGGTCCGATCCGGCAGTTCGAAGAACCTGTTGCTGTAGCGAAGGCGAGTTTGGCGCTGGTTCCAAATCGAGCGGAACATTATGGGGACTTGGTGTTAGTACCCGATGTTCAGCAGAAGCAACGTCATCATCCCGTCCCACGTCGGAAGAGCCGTAAACGGAGTAGAATTCACTAGATAATGCCTTTTCGTGAAGCACTGAGATTTGGAATAGCAACAAGTTTCGGAGAAGCGGAGAGAAATGAAAACAGAATGGATTTTTCGACTGAAAACATGTCTAACGCCAAAGCAGATCATCGGCAATATCTTAACTGGATTAGTGTACGGAATAGCACAAGGAACAGGCAGTGTTGTTTTCTCATGAGAAAATAGTCTGTAGTGTCAAGTGTCCGTGAAGCTGAATGAGCCAATCCAAACACGATTTGCAAATTACTGTAGCCATTCACCCAAAATGTGACCATTACCATGCGGCTTTGAAAAGAGTTACGGCACCCAACCCGAAAGTTTACAGCTCCGGTTCCCCCAAGCAATACAAAAGGTTCGCACTGTGGACTAATATCAACAAGGACAAGACAGCTATCTGATGCACTTTGACGACCATCACACAAAGAGAAATGAAATCGCAAACAAGAGCAATTAATTACTTTGGTATTCTGTATGTATATTAACCGTGATGAAAACGAGTGAAACAAGATGTTAAATTCTAACTGCAAAGATAGATAGATAGATAGACAGAGAAGCAGTAATTGTAGATCTTCATTTACAGGTGCTTGATTACGCTAGGGGATAATGTAAGAATTGATTATGAACTCAGTGCCCGTGGCGGTTTTTCCCGCCAAAGTGAGAGGACGAAAAGCCGATATCCGGGGCCATAACCGGGTTGGTGAACCAATGGCAGTCCACCTAGAGGAGTTGGCTAGAAATCCTGATTCCAAACCAATCAAGAAGTGTACGAACCACACACACACCTTCCTGGTTGTGGCAATGATCATCGAGGTATACTGGTCACCTTGGACATTTGACCCCGTCCAGAGGGCGTATGATTCGATGGACACGGCACAGGCAGATCAATCCACTCGTCAGAGCCCACTTCACGAAGCACACAGTCTACTGATTTGGGCTTAAGGGACATCGATTTGAGCCTTCGACTAATTCTTCTGACCCACCAAGCGGAGACTGCTTTATTTCTTAATTTTTTATGTGACACCGATAGACATCTGAGCATCTTAAACCCATTGGAATTATCTGACAGGAGGAAAGGTGGCGAAAAGCAATTACAACTCACTTCGCTCAGCACTGTTCGACAACGATAAGGATAAGAACAATAGATGCAATGGATTCCATGTATTGTCCACAGACGCAACGGAATACGGTATTGCAGTGTCTGTTGTCATGGTGTTGAAAGTGTCACTCTCTTCACCCGTAGAGTGTACCGGGTTCAACACGCGAAACGAGCAATTGTACGCATTAGCCAAATGCTGTACGTATCGCATTCCGGCTTGAAGCCCCGCCGAAACGTGTGTGAGACAGTCCTTTTCGACCGGATTGTGCACCCCCACAAGCAAAATG